CTCTCTCTCTCTCTCTCTCTCTCTCTCTCTCTCTCTCTCTCTCTCTCTCTCCCCTAGGCACCCTCATCTCCCCCCTCTCTTGCTCTCTCTCTATATATAGTGATTCTAATCCCAGTTTTCCAAGTTCCACCCTCAATTTTTGCCTCCGCCACCTACTTCTCTCCCTAAACCCATGGTCTCACTGACAGCTGAAGATTTGGTAACATATTATTATTATAGAGGTTACCTTAAAGAGTATAAGAACGAAAAGGTCAACAGAGCTCACACAGTTCTCTCAGTGGCTGGACCTACATCAACATTATTGTCACCTTCACAGGTGAGGGAAGTTCTGCAGACATAGACACTGATACTCTCACGAGACATGTATCTCCAATAGCAACAACTACAAACAACAACAGGAACAGCCAGAACGTCCTGCTCATCGGAAATAAACGTAACTTTTGGTCTAAAAATAAACCAGACTCCAATATCTCTGGAGTCCACAACAGACAGAATTATAAAGTCATCAAACTGCAAGAAAAAATCAATCGAAACCCTTCCGCCGAAATTCAAACAGAATTTGAGAGTTTCCCGACGAAACTTAGAAGTGTAAAGGACTCCTCTGATCTCCGTAACAACAGAAGGTCAAAGCACTCTCTGAGTAGAGGCAACCCTATTGTCCAGACTCTCAACATTCCCACGGCTGTAATCAGCGATGTGCACAACACAGAAGGTCATAATCAGCTTGCGAGTGTTTATAGGACCTCTGCAGAGGACATTAAAGGAACGGAAAGCGGTGGTGTTGCCATTACAAAACCAAAACTAAATGCCACGACACGATTTGCTGATGATTTATACGTTGTCCAAAGCTTTCGAAAAGATATTCGCAGGAAAAGAAATGAGGCTGATTTATTTCTCAAATCGAAACCTTCTCAAGGAAAAGCGTTTCTTAACGTGGCACAGGAAAATAATGTTTTTCCGAAGCGTGGCAGCTTACACATTCGCCAGGCAGGTGACAATGTTGGGAATGAAAGTACATCCTTGAATTTACAGAGTGCCTCGATGAGTCTTGAGGGTTTAAGCTCTACGAATGTGACTGTAGGAAGTGTGGCATCCCGTCCGTGTTCGAACCTGAACTGCTTGGATTTGTTCTGCCAGCCGGGCGGACAGAGATGTCAGAAGGGCTGTGTGAAAGGATACTATCCCGGGGCAGACGGCACGTGTTCTCAAGGTTGGTAACATAAGAATGTGTTCGTTTGAGTGAAGAGAAACCGTCAATACAAAAAGTATGCCATTTCGTGTAGACAGACAGACGGACGGACAGACAGACAGACAGACAGACAGACAAACCGACAGACAGAAACAGACAGATAAAGGGAAAGAAAAACAAAGTAAAAGTATGGACAACCTTTGGCGCCCTCATGAGCGACTTTGTTACACCTTTTCAGTGACCTTCAGGTGCGCGTCGTTTCAATATACTATACTGATAAATAAAAACAATTTGAGGGAACCGATGTCTGTGGAATAATGGTTAGGCTCTTGGCCGTTGCACACACAAGGCCACGGTTATTTTCTGAAATAATTTGGTCTGCCTGCTGAGGTGCTGTATGCCATTCAGCCCTGACAGACATGTTTGAAGTTCGAAGCAGCCGCCTCCAAAGGATCATCATTAGATCTATATGGCAATTTGTTTTTTACTTTTTTTGTTGAGGGGGGGGGGGGGGGGG